TCCTAAACAAATTCAAAATGCTTTTACATTTTCAGAATTCAAAATATTTTGTACCGGACAAAATTGCACCGCTGGGAGACTATCCTTTTACTACGTAGCGTAAAAGGAGTAATTCTAGTTATTATTCATATTATCATTATTAAAACAGTATTTTTATATTTAATTTATTTCTGCCCTGTCATGAAAAACCCACTCAACTTACACATTTTTCAAAATGTACTTTTTAGCTATTTGCTCTTTTGGGGACATGTGTATTCAGAATTTTGAAATTATGACTGAAAATATGAAATTCAAAATTAAAATATCACTCAACTGCAAGTCACAACTTTTCAATCGTACATAAGTGAAGCTGACGATAAACAATACGTACAGTGGCCCAAGCCTATGTCGTAATTACGACATAAATATGTCGAAATTACGACATACGTATGTCGTAATTACGACTTATTATGTCGAAATTTCGACATACTTAAGTCGTAATTACAACTTATTATGTCGAAATTTCGACATACGTATGTCGAAATTACGACATACGTATGTCAAAATTTTGACTTATTATGTCATAATTTCGACATAATAAATCGAAATTATGACATACATATGTCGAAATTTCGACATATTATATCGAAATTTTGACATAATAAGTCGTAATTACGACATACGTATGTCGAGATTTCGACATAATAAGTCGTAATTACGACTTACGTATGTCGAAATTTCGACATAATAAGTCGTAATTACAACATACGTATGTCAAATTTCGACATAATAAGTTGTAATTACGACATAAAAATATATATTTCAGTGGCCCTAATAGGCTTTCGTAGTTTATAGTTTACAGATGCCAGAAAAGAAGTGTAAATTGATGTAATTAATGATATTGATGTAGGCCTCTAAGTGTAAATAAATGAATAATGTATAATATTAGACTAGGCCTACTTGCCCCCATCATGACAAAAGGGAGCAACTGATGTTGCATTGCTTTGAGTTAATGAATATGGAGCATGTTGATTTTGTCCCCTGCTTCCTTTTTTGGCGGTTTTTACTGTATTTTTAGTCTCTTATTTCCTTTTTGTGTTCCTAATTACTTGTTAATTAGTGGGATTTGAACATACTCAATATCAATATGTTCCAAATTATTAGTTCTTTGATAGTCACTAAAAATAACTCATTTTTGAAAAATTGTCAATTACTTCCTTTTGTCATGGTGGGGCAGTACTGTACAGAATAGTAGATTCCAATATTTATGTAATTTCATGGTATTAATTTACATTGTGTAAATAAAAATGAAAGCAAGAGCTAGCAATTTAACTGTTTTCTGATCATTGAATGTCAAGTATTTGATATTATGAGTAGTTGCGTATTGGCTGCAACGTGACGCGCATTGTATTTGCAGGCGGCCAAAGGTTCCTGTCAAAATCTCCTGCGAATGGAGTTCTTCAACTTGGGACCCCTGGATACTGTATGTGATAATTGATGATTAATCTCAATAAACAGTAACACGTAATAATAGACTGGCCAATTCTAAAGAATAGTAAAATATTAAATTACAAAATTGATTGTATAAATAATATATGTGAATTGTTGTTTATTATTATAGACTTCAGCCTAACCTTGAAACAAGGAAGAAGCAAGTAGATGGTTGGTGTGACTTGGTTTTATTATTTGCACAACATCATAAACTCTATCAACTAGATGTGAAAGAGTCTTCATCCAATCCTCCGTTTTCAAATCCGCAAATAAATAGTATCCTTTGCTTAATTATTAAATAAAAACCATATCACATAAGGCTCAAGTATATCCCAACTTATTGGATATAATACATGAAACACAACGCCTTTCCCACAGAATAAGGAACCTTTTCATGCCATCTTTTTTGGCCATTGACACGATATTTTCCCCAGGGCTCTCAATTGGCTCAATGATGCCCCGAACCATAAGGTCAAGTATCTGCCCCTAATCCCGTCCCGGTAATGTACAGGGTTCCTACAGTGTCCCTATTTTATTTGCAAGGCATTTCCCGTATTGATGATGTTGCACAAGATCACTGTGCCCCAGGACATGTTCCCCCTAGAGCCCTGTTTCTCAAACTTTTTAAGGTGGCGACCTACTTTCAGACTCCTTATTCTTTGGCGACCCAAGGCATATATTTTCATCACAATGCCATTTTCATGTTATGTGTTGATTTACTTATGCCTATTTTACTTGCCACAAGTTCATCATAATGCTATTCTTTGACTTTGATTTTTATTTTAAATCTATGCTATTATAATATAGTACATGTAGTATAGTATGGGGGTGGGGCTGATGGGGAGTGTGGAGGTGAATTGGAGGGGCTCGCTGCTTAGGTGAGGAGAACTAGCTCCCAAAATATGGTGATTTGAGGTGATTTTTAACAGCTTGAGCATGATTATTTTGGGAGAGGGGGAAATTGGGGGAGGGGGATGAGTATTGGAAGGGTCCCCCTTCTGTGCATACCCCTAGATACGCCACTGCCCAAAATCTTAAAAATGGATATATTGTATTCTTTTTCTTTTGAAGTGTCAGTAATAGGGAAGCCTTTTGACGCAGACATCGTTGATATACTCAGCGCACAAAAGAAAAATACACAAAGTGTGTAGGTCTGTATTTCACGTTCACTTACATTAAATTATAGTAAATTTAGTATTGACAGGTCCAATATAGGCCTAATCCGTTTGTGTCCTGAAAGAAATATAAATAAAAGTTAACTTTAGACTTACAGTACTATATCTGTTTGTAAAACAGAATATATGGCTTTTTCTCTTTGTGATGTTGAAATTTAAGAAGTCTAGTGTAAAATAACAGAAAGAAAACAAAAATACTGTAGAATCTTACAGAAAATTATGAAGGTAAAATAATAGCAACTCGATGTCAGGGAAACTCAAACTATGACTAATGATATTCATATTATGTAAAATGATGTCATAATTTGATACGCTCATCGTTGATATGGTCTTTGCTTGGACAATATTTAAGGAAGATTCAAGTACGGAAAGTGATCAAAGTGCCGGTCAGAAAAACTCCGCAAAAAAAAAAGGAAATTGGGATTAAAGAAGAAAAATTTATAAAATTTTAAAAAAACATATTTCTAAAAAAAAAATAAAGTTAAAATAAGCTGGGAAAATAACTTGACGTTAGAAAGACTTGAACTATATGAGGATCTGCCCCTCGATCCCGCTGGGGCTGCCTACCAATTGACCCCAACGGACCCCAGAACAATGGGCCTGAGCAGCAAAGCTGCCCCAGAGGCCATGTCCGCTCTTGGCGACCCATATCTTTGGCATTTTTTTGACTACACATGGAATGAATAAATGAATGAATAGGAGACAACTTAGTATTAGTTTTTTGGGCCTAGTTTCTCAAAAACACATTTGGGCAGTTTGGTACATTGTGTCCCTGAATCTAAATAACAATCCCATTTTGTACCTTTTTATTCAAATATTTTATTTCTTTTCTGTTAGAAACTTTTATATTTGTTTTTATATTTGCTTTATATGTAAATATGTTCGGAGTTTAGATGTTTAGTGTTTAGAGAGAGCCACTTGATAGTGGCAATCGTTATGTAATGAACATCTTGTTTGTATGATTTGTCTTATATTGCTTATACCTGTATATTGAATAAATTTAAAAATAAAAAAATCAGGGGGCCCCTAAATGTTACAAAATTTAAAAAAATTGGGGATAAAAAAAAATTTCATGCAAATTTTAAAACTAGATCACCGTTCTGCAATCTATGTTTGGGTCGTGGAAAAATGTTGATGGTTTGCATTCCTCTTCAGATCATGGAAATTTTACTTATTACAAATGAAGACAAAGGAAATCAAAATTACAGTAAAGAAACGTGCAAGTGTGGTATTTGCATCACTGTACTTTTGTAATGTGTGCGTTATCAATAGTTTTATTTTCAATAATATACTATTAAACCATTTGTACTTCAGGTTTGACAACTTGAAAGTTTTATTTTTTTTATTTCATTGTGGCTTACAGGGGGAAGTTATAATGACATTTTCTCCTGCAATTAAATGTGTATATTTAACAATAACTCTTACATTTATGGCAGCAAATTTAAGAATTTTTATAGTGTAAAACATCCATAAATAAATCTTTGATAACTCATGTAGTTCTGTTACATGAGTAATTCAAATAATAATTTCATTTTTATGGCATTTAAATTTATTTTGTGGTTAATTTGAAAAATCTTTTATGAATGAAGTGAATCATGTTGACGTAGGTTTTTCTGATCTCCTCTGTTTTTGTTTAAAACGAATGACATGATTTATTTACTTAACTAAAAAAATAATACGATTTTCAATCATTTTACTATGAAATTGGCCTGTTGTGTATATTATTTTCAATAATATACTATTAAACCATTTGTACTTCAGGTTTGACAACTTGAAAGTTTTATTTTTTTTTATTTCACTGTGTTTGGCTTACAGGGGGAAGTTATAATGACATTTTCTCCTGCAATTAAATGTGTATATTTAACAATAACTCTTATATTTATGGCAGCAAATTTAAGAATTTTTATAGTGTAAAACATCCATAAATAAATCTTTGATAACTCATGTAGTTCTGTTACATGAGTAATTCAAATAATAATTTCATTTTTATGGCATTTAAATTTATTTTGTGGTTAATTTGAAAAATCTTTTATGAATGAAGTGAATCATGTTGACGTAGGTTTTTCTGATCTCCTCTGTTTTTGTTTAAAACGAATGACATGATTTATTTACTTAACTAAAAAAATAATACGATTTTCAATCATTTTACTATGAAATTGGCCTGTTGTGTCTGATGGGTTGTGTCTGAGTGCTTGACATTTTATTTGTACTGTGGGAATAAAGGTTGGCGGATCTAGGATCTAGAAGTGCCATAGACATACATATGCTGCTGCTTGTGCTGATGTTGATGCTGTGTCTGTTGTTGCTGCTTCTTCTGTTGCTGCTGCTGTTGTTATTGTTTTTAACATTATTACCAATAACTATTTACTGTGAGGTCGAACATGGATTTATGGAAAAAAAATGTTAAATTATAACTACATATTACTGTGATTTAGCTTATTATATTATTATTTTCCTGATGAGTGTTTTTAGGGAAATTGCCTTTAGAGGGAGTCTACACTGTTCTAGAAGAGCTAAGGACAAGAGGTATGTTTATTTCTTTGTACTTGCAAATATGCCTACTGTGTACAGCTGTGCATGCCAACCTTATTGAGTGATCTCAAATTGCAGGTGAATGATTTGGTTGTGGTTTGTCTTTGTTCAATTACATTCATTTGTTGCCATTTGAGCAAATGTTTTTTCAGGATATGATGAATTATATATTTATATATTATAATATTTTAAAAGTGTAATTTCAATTCAATCTTCTAAGGAAATATAGAATGGACAGATAAAGGCAAGTCGAGATGTTTGGTGATGTGGAGAACACCAGCAGAATGGGGTAACCTTATGTATACATGGGTAAGTATCTTTGCAGAAAATCATTGATTAGATTGATATTAATAAATTTTAAAAAACTGAAATGACTGAAATCGAGGTTCAATTCAATTTCTGTATTACCTATGTATGTATTTATCTCACATTTTTAATAGGAACGGGGGTTCCCATGCATCCCAAGGATATATTTTTTTAACTAACTTTTTTGTAATCCTCAAAGTATCTCATGAATGAATTTTGATGTTCCCATCGAAAAAAATTGTCTCATGGGGTCGTTTGGTGGCCTTTGTGGTGGCCATCTTTAATTTTTAATGAAAATCAATTATTTGCATAATTTATTAACTGAAAATCATATAAAATCAAATTAACCTCTAAATGTATATAGTAAGCAGTGTTTATGTTCTTAATACAAAACATTGACCTCGCATTTACATTTGGTGGCCATATTGGAAAATTAAAATTCAAACGAAGAAATCTTAATTTTACCAGTTTTACAATTTCGTGTACAGGGCCAAAACACTGAGCAGCCTTTGTAGTGACATAAAAGAACAAACAATCCAACAAATTTTAAATGTTAAAAATTATACGTATTTTGTACATATTAGTAGACTCTAAAATTTATTAAATAAGCCTTTGAAACCCCTAAATTGTCAAAATTTCAGGGCCTTCGTCCCCTAGGCCACTAATGAGGCATTTAAAGCAATGTTTGACCATGCTCACCTTGTTCTCGTCGAGGAAATTTTCCCCCTCGTCAGGGATATTGGGCCCACCGTCGGGGACCTCAGACTCTCCATTGGGCAAATCCTAGCGCCACCCCTGGACATTTGCCCCTTGTCGCATGATCTGCGCCCATGGGTACGTTAGAGTCCACTACCTCAACCCCAACATGGTTAGGGCTGAGGTGCGAACATTTTCAGAATATGGACCTCTGGGTGCCAGAAAATAGCACTTTCAAGCACCTTAAAAATCTTGCCAATAATTCATCCACCCCAGGAATTCATAGTTTATTACAGGTTATTAAAAAAAAAAGTATCTGTTTTTTGATAGGCTTTGAAAAATGGGCTCTTGAATACAGTGTGTACGCTTTTTGAAATTACACAAGGCGATGATTCCAAATCTGAAGGCAAGTATTTTATTATCATTTGTATTTGAAATTTTGTAATTATCATTATTTTAACATTGAAGAAAATTGAAGATAAGTACTGATCAAGATAGGCAATTACGTTATTGCAATTGCTTTTATTTGTTGATCCTAATATGTTTCTACATTTCATCGACAAAACCAGTCGTTAGGCTATTATTCGTTGGAGTGCATCCCATTGACGCCAATTTATTGTTATCGGGTTGAGGATAATCCACAAAGAATTGATTGTTGTTTTATTTCGAATAAATTGGATAAGTACTGGTACTGATCGTAAACAAATATTTAGTTTTCACTATTTGCAGTTGGAAGTATAAATCAGAAAGATGGTCATATTTATTTTGACAATGGTTCTTTCATTCGCAATCTTCAGCGTCCGTGGTGTTGAAACTGATTTAAAACGAACACAATTGTAAGATTGTAATAGATACAAATAGATATAGCGCTACAAGAAACTAAATGTACAAAACCAGAAGAAACCAACCTCCCAAATGGTTACAAAGTACTCATTGTTGAACAGAAAAATCACGACATAGAGCGCTTGGCTTCGTCAGTGACAATGTCGCATACTTGGATATTGAAACAAGAAGGAAAAACGGTGAAAAAATACAAACAAGAATAATTAACTTTTATGGCCCTACAAGTCCAAATAGAAATTTGAATCCTGAACTGTCGGCGAATTCTACTATGAGAAAATATGTAAGTCCGCAGAAATTCCAAATCGTTATGATTTTTTTATATTGGGGATTTCAGCGCTAAAATCGGGCATAATTGCAAATTTGAAATATCATTTATAGATGGCAACTTTGAGCCATATTCACATAGCAGAACTAATGATAATGGTCATGACCTTCTTAACTTTATTGTTTCCAAATCATTATTCATAAAGCTTTTTAACATAAAATGTGTCGTATAACCACATATACTATGTGGCACAAAGATTGGTCTCAAGGAGCAAACTCTTAATGCTACTTAACTGCTTACTTACTTACCCATCAACGAGGGTTGGACACATTCATACCAGCTTGATGGCCTTTCTCCATTTAGAGCAGTCCTGTGCTAGAGCAGTATCAATATTGAGTTTTTTAATGTCATCCTGGGTGCTGTCATACCGCCTTTTCTTGGGTTGGCCCCTTGCTTTCCGCCCTACGATTTCGTAGCTTAATTTTCTGCTTAGGCCAGTTGTTGTTTATCCATTCGCTGGTGATGTCCAAACCACTGTAATCGATTGTTTTTCATAACATACTCTTTTTTCCCCCTGCAATAGCCCTCTTTATATCTCGTTGAAGTTCTTTCTTATAGATAATATCCCCTTGCTTCATTGCTGTGTATTTCTTTGCCAGAAGTAAACTTCAGGGGGGAACGATAGTATCTTCAAAAAAACGAATATAAGCTGAAACTTCCTTAGTCACCTTGTCCAGTGAACCACAACTCTTAAACAGATCCCAATTCGTTGTTTCAAAGCATTCTTAAAGGTTGTGCACTGCTCGTTAAGCGGGGCAGCCTTTACATAACATCGGTTGATTTCATATGCAAAACTCACTATACACAGTAAAAAATTCATCAATCCAACTCTTGAAAGAAAACAACTGTAACGAGGGTGTCGCTGCCATGATGAACTGCACCACAAAAGTGCCTTTAAAAAAAGGAAGGCGTTGCTCAGTTATAGTGTGGAGTCATAGTATGTTACTTTCAGTAGTGTATAGAAAGAAATGGAGTTACAGCAAAATGGGTGTTGACATAAAACTATCTTAAATCTACTAAACAAAGCTGACTGTTCAGAATGTGATGTTTGTCTTGTCTTGTGAAATATTAGAACTAAGCTGGTTGTTAAAATTTGAATTTAAGAGTAGCGTAGGGTCCTTTGAAGGAGACGCTTTATCGGATAAACTACTTACAC